ATCACTATATTGCGTTGAGCGCGTGCTTGGGATACATTGCGCGTATTGTGTAGTTAAAAAGTGTACTGTATCGTGTGATTTCCCTTGAAAGCGTGATCCCGTTAAGGTCGATCTTTTGTGCCTGTAAAGCCGGAAAAAAAACCACCACATAAGTAATAAAGGGCTACGATTATTTAATTCTATATAGTATTTAAGAATTACTTTTTTATTTATTTATTTTTATAAAGTTAATTAGTACGAATTTTTTATTTTATATAGTATTAAGAAGTCGTTTTTTTTACGTAATAAGATACTTTACTAATTTATAATAATAGAATTTAATTACTAATTAGTATTAGTATTTTTATTATAAAGTAGTTAGTTTAAACTATAGGTTAACGAAGAGATTAATTAAATTATATAAATTTCTATATAGGTATAAAAAGGAGGCTCTAATTATAAGTTGGGCTAGTTATAATAATTGTAAATAGGGCCCCTAATTGGCCCCTGCGCAGTTGGCTGTATGCTGCGGTTGAATTAGACTTCTAATCCGACAGTTATATCACATATCTCAACGTAAACCCCGCGAAAGCAATTACTATAACAGCCTCTCAGCTCCCGCCACTTTGCCATCCCAACGCCGTCGGGGTATATCCGTAGGTGACGACTCTTGCCTAGCTCATTGGTTCATCTGATGCGGATGTTGATACTGGGGTTCAGAGTCGTCGACTCGTGGGATTGCAAGGTAAATGTGTGGCATGGGCCTGTCAAGTTTCGTGATAACTTGGACCGACCAGGGGATCCTGGACGCTCCACGACGGCAGCGCGGTTTCCAAGGTCGATGCTCGCCTGATGGCGGATACATGCCGGCGGGAGCCCTCTACGAGACCGAGTCAAGTCATGCCGAACATCAAGATGAAATACATTCTAGTCACATCCTACTTTTCACCCATCCGCGCTTGTAAATGGACCACATCTAGGATATCTGTTGGCCAGATTACGTCTCGGTCGCTACGACTTCTTGCCTCCTTCTGACAGGCTCCATACGGACATTGATACAACCGAGAGCCTGCACGATATGAGGGGCAAAGGTAATCTCTATACGAACTCGTTTTCGGAGCAGCGTTTTATGCTAAATATCTAACGGCTGCGTATTCCAAGAAAACGCGACTCTAAATCTCCACTGATTAATAGCATACATGGCCTGATGACCATAAGGAGTGCTCCGGCACCCAGGACTATGCACGACTGAAGGTCGGGGTTGGAGGAGATAAGCCAAACTGCCCGCTCGAAGCCCCTCGTTATAGGGATGTTTCGAAACAGGTGCATCCTGTTGCTGATCAATACATGGACTTAATTACAATTGCTTATACGACGGCTATAGAATCCTGCGTACACTATCTCATTGACTAAGCACCTTGGCACGACCATTGGAGGCTTGCCTTGCCGCGAGCTTGCCGCTCAGATCGCAATAATGCAATCTTGTCATTCTAAGTGAGGAAGACTCCACAAATCGAAGCTTTGGTATCTATCATATCGGCACGATAAACCGGGCCCGGCACTCGGTCAAAGTATAATAAATTGACCTGGACTGTCGACGAGTCATGGCACACTCCACGATTACCCCAGAAGCCAAGATGAGCATCGACGTCGGCCTGCCAAGAAGGAAAGCAAGCTCAAACACCTTCGGGCATATCCGCTCTCATTCCCAATGCTTCGGCCGTGGGGTTACGCTAACAGTGGAACATATCAACCGAAAGTTCAAGCCTTGCTTAATTGGAAAAGATAAGTACAATTGGACCGCGTACGATTCGTTTCCTTGATAGGGACTTACCATCTGACTCGTGATGCGGGCGTAAAGCGATCCGACGAGTACCGCTATGCGTCATATCGTCGAACAATCGCCCCCCTTTGGGGTCTTTTGGGGTTGCCATGCCGTCTTTTCCACATCCCGATTTCCTCCTTGTATGAACCCTCGTGCTCTCTCGTGGGAGACTCGCCCTGCCCTGTTGCTCTTTTGATCCAATTGTTTCCTCAACAACCCCTCGCCAGCAATAATACGACCAGCGGGGTCTCACGACCACAACTGACCAAGGTGGTAAAAATGGCGCTTCTGGGACTTCTAGCTCTCGCAGTAGGTATGGTCATGAGACTGGCAGAGACAGACTACTGATTCAGGGCACCTTGCAGGCATTCTTGGGAGTAGTGGCAAAGAGCGTTTACAATGCCTTCCTACACCCACTCAGCCGCTACCCCGGTCCGAAGCTCGCCGGTGTGACGAGGGCGTATTATCTGTTCTTTGACGTTCGCGGGGTAAGCCACTGGAAGGTCAAAGAGTGGCACGAGAAGTACGGAGAAGTGATTCGTATCGCCCCCGGCGAGCTGTCTTACACTTCTGGTCAGGCTTGGCAAACGATATATGGTACGTTCAGAAGGATCAGCATCATCTTGGCGCTCAGTCATTTTAACGCAACGCCTACTTAGGCTTCCCCAATAAGGAGGGCACAGGTAACTTTGAGAAAGATGCTCAGTGGTGGAACAAGAATGTCAACGGCGTCGAGAATATTCTCACAGCCGACGATGCCGGCCACAAGCGTATGCGCAGGCTCCAGAATCCTGCCTTTTCGGACAAGGCCCTCAAGGCTCAAGAGTCCGTCATCACCGGCTATGTCAAGCTTCTCATCCATAAGCTCCACGGGCAGGCGTCCAGTGGGAGCGCAGAGTCCGCGGCTGTCGTGGACATGAACTCCTGGTACAACTTTACCACCTTTGACATTATTGGTGACTTAGCCTTTGGCGAGCCATTCTATTGTCTGCGCGATGCTAAGTGGCACTGGTGGCTGCATGCTGTCTTTGATATCTTCCAGGCTGGGACCTACCTTCGTGCTGCTCGTCGATTCCCGTCACCGCTGTCTGAGATGCTTCTGCTTCTCATTCCCCGCCGCCTCATCAAGACGAGAGTGGCCCAGTTCCAGTTTGGTGTTGAGCGTGTGAACCGCCGTCTTGAGCAAGAGACTGATCGTCCCGACTTCAGTAGGCTCACATCTGCTAACTTCAATCAAGGCAGGTTGCTAACGGGATCCATAGTGTACTACATCTTGCAAGGGAGCGATGATAAGGGCATGTCAACCGAGGAGATCTATGCCGCTGCCCAGGTCCTTATCGTCGCCGGCAGTGAGACTACAGCGACAGGTCTGACCGCAGCCACCTATCTCCTCTGCGAGAACCCGCAAACACTGGCCAAACTCACTTCAGAGATCCGTAACACTTTTGAGAACGAAGACGACATTACCATCCAGAGCACAGCTGGACTGAGCTACCTCAACGCTGCCATCGAAGAGGCCCTTCGACTGGGACCTCCCGGCCCTGGAACATTTCCTCGCGTGGTCCCTGATGGCGGAAGAATGGTCTGTGGACAGTTCGTCCCTGCCGGGTACTCAGTCGGCGTTCACCACCTGGCCATCAACCGATCGCCGATTCACTTCAGTAAGCACGATGAGTTTCATCCCGAGAGATGGCTCGGGGACCAGAAGTTTGAGTCGGACCAGAAGTTAGCAGCCCAGCCATTCTCATTCGGGCCAAGGAACTGTATTGGAAAGAAGTAGGTCTCAGACCCCTCCTTTGAGTGAATGTGACTGACCAACTTCATAGTCTGGCTTATGCCGAGATCCGGACAATCATTGCCCGCGTTGTGTGGAACTTTGACATGAAGTTACACGCTGATAGTGCAGGCTGGTTAGGGAGGCAAAAGATGTTTACTACCTGGCACAAGACAGAGATGAAGGTGTATCTTTCCGCACGGGCAAAGTCACCATAAATGGGCATAGGCATGACTCCTTCTGAGAAAAACTTTCTGTGATCTTTTATTAGCAAGGACCTAGTCACTATGCCTGCCATGATGAACCTGAGCCAGATGTCAATACGGCGTGAAGATTGGTCTGGGGGTTTTTCAGTATGGTCGTTCAATGTTACAAGGGAATGAAGCGTGTACATATTACTTGAGAACCCTAAATCACATACCTTTACATTCTGCAAGCAATATCTCATCTGTGTCTTCACTCGCTGCTAGCACCAAGTTTCCATGAGCGAGCACGGCATTGTCATGCAGAGGCACATTGGCCTGGGCCCCCTAGGGCCTGGACGGTGTCGTTGTATCGAAGTAGTGCATTATAATTTGGGTGGAGAACTGCAGCAGAGATAGAATCATGTAATCCCGCTTCTCCTGGTCTTCCAGGCAGAGCTGACGAATACTCAGGCTGCTTCACTCCTTGTTGGAAACACGTGGGCGGGACCCTCACAGATCGTGCCGAAGCCAGCATGATCCCGCCCCATGAGCTTGCTCCGTACTACATGTAGCTTATACAGTGGTCCTTTGTTACCATAATTCAAGAGAAATTCAGCATGGGTCTTTGATAGGTGGGGATGTGCAGCTGCTAAAGTAAGACTTCGTGGGGTTGGCAGCATTTAAGTTTAGATGTAGCATGTCACAATTGAGCACAGGACGAAGATAGCTGTCATCCGGCCTCGATCCACGCCTCAAACTGGGCGAAGAAAGCTGATTCTTGGATACTAATCCCCATCACTCGCCTCACGGACCTTTATTCATGACGGGCTCAAGTTGGGCCTGATATCGAAATTACAGGGGCTTCTGTCATCTCCTTTGGCCACGCCAATAGCTCCCCCCAATACGACCCAAGATGAGCTGCAATGGACCTTACGAGGTTCTGTCCCGCGGCCCCGAACGCCCAGCAGTCTCTCGCCTTATGCATCAACACGCCCCAATATGCCAGCACCACCAACGCCTCGGGCCGTCTTTGGTCGAGCAGGCTGACGTACTCGGCTGGAACCCGGATTGACCACTCCTGTACAGTGCTGTACCGCCGACCTGCAGGTATGTCTGTGTTGCGATGAATGTCGAACATGAGCTGCAGGTGCTCGACTGCTTCCTGGCACGCCGCCTTGGATGCATCGTTGAGGTCGCTCGATTCAAAGAGGCGCAACAGATGTCTACATTCGTTGCCTGTCTCGTACCGTTCTCTTCTGATGATCATGTTCTGCACGAAGCGGCTCCCTGCACCTAGATGGGTATCAAAGTGAGACCGGAGCCTGTCCCACGAGCCCCCTACGACGCTCCGAACGACCCGATGGAGGCCCATGCAGTGGACTAGCTTATCCAGAGTGACTGGAAGATCAGCGGGTATCGAGAACGTGTCGAAGAGAACGTGTTGACCGAGCCAGGTGGAAAACAGGAATACTGTAAGGAAGTCTTCATCAGACAGATCGCCGTCAGCCACCGTAAAACGTGAAAGGCTTCTCGTCTGTAGTCGTGTTGCTTCGCTGCGGTAGAAAGCCTGATCTTCTCCCGGCAAAGTGCTCTTGTGTGCTGCAGCTATAGCTAGAAGCTCGTCCATCAGAAATGACACCCGGAAGGCTTGCTTCAGTGACATTTGCTGGTACTTTTGTCGCGTGAGAGTATCGCCGAACCCTTGGTTGTAGCCCAAGTTATGCTCGAAATGGTATAGCAACTCCATGTGCCGGAGATCGTATGGCTCTGTCGGCACATGGCTGTTGCGGCAAGTCGCTTGCTCCGGGGTGATGGGCACCGCCGGGCTTGCTGTTGATGACCCTATTGATGTTGCTGGGCTCGGACATTGGTACGAGAACGTGGACGATGATGGTACTGCCGCCTCAGTGTCGAGGTATGAGCATCTCCTGAGAGCAGTCGTGCAGTTGACGCATGCCGGCCGGGACTCGTCGCATTTTACATGACGTTGCTTACACTCTTTGCACCCAAATCTTGACTTTCGATGAGGTGTCCGCTGGCGCATTTTGCCAAGAGCTTCCGGTGACAGGCGGGCGAAGTGGCGTAATCAAAACTGCCAATGTTCCTCGAGGAGTTTTCACTCCCAAGTTTCGGGCGAATGTGAAGCAAAAGCAGCCCGTCTGATGCGAATACACTGAGATGGAATGGCTTCAAGAAGCAAGAACGAAATCAAGCCACCGAATGAATTATTACCGGAAACATGATCGGGAAGGGCAGAAAGACTCCTTTAAAGTCTCGGTCCAATCTCAAGCCCCGCTAACAAGCATATCCCTGGACCACGCACTGTGCGACCGAAGACGCCTTTTCAGCTCGCTCGACTTCATGGAGTGAGTGGGAGTGTATGATTCTGACGAGATTGCGATTACTAGAGAACGTTGATGTCGCGAAAAGAAGTTCAAGATGATCAGAGATTTTATACTCAGCTGTCCTGCGTCAAATATCTGAAGAAACCGTGAAGGCATAATCATCCGTACAGAATTCGAAATACGCGTACATCGTGAGCTGCTAGCGAGATCTCGTAATGTCCGTTTGTCCAAAGGTGGTTTCGTTGGACGGTTCGTCTGATGATTGGTCGAACTCAAAGTGACAACCCATGAAGAGAAGATGCAAGCAAGCCGACGTGGTTCGTGTAATTAGCTATAAATATGAAACATTCTACGTATGCCTCGAAGATTCAGGCATCACTTCAGCAGAACAATGAAATATCTTCATTTGTAACGCCATCCACAGTCCGGATGTATCAGATCGTCACTGGGTGACACGCCTCGAAGAAGCTCAGCGCCTGCCTTAGCGTCCGTCGTATTTATCCCTGCGCGTACTGTAAAGTGAGCGATTGGACAGTCGATGGCAGTCCAAACCCGAACCAATTAGAGCCTTCTGAGTACGGACTGGTCCACAATGTCGGTGGGCACCAGTGTCCTCAATATTCTGATTCACGGACATCTATGGTGTTATTGCCCTCTGTCTCCCATTATGAACCCGAGTTGAATGCTGGCAGATTGTCTTATTCTCCTTCTATCTCTTCAACTCAGAAACTTTTCGGTCCAAGCATTTCCTCTGGTATGACAAAGACTTCTCAACGGGAAAAAGATTTGTCTTCAAATAGAGTAGCCTTTCGCCCACACCTACGGAAACCACCACCGCGACATCAAAAACAACGTCACTAAACAATCTTGAAGTCCAGCCCACGATTACGACAAAAGAATGGACGATCTGGGAATCGAACCCAGGACCTACCGCATGCTAAGCGGTCATTATACCACTAAACCAATCGCCCAGGAGGATGATCTAGCCCGGACTTGAACCGGAGACCTTCAGTGAACAGTGAGATTATCGTGAGAGAGTCTCAACTTGTTAGACTGACGTGATAACCAACTACACCACCAGACCATTTGAATTGTTGAAGGCGCGAGCGAGAGATTGCCCTAGTGTGGGTGGAATCGTGCCGCGTTGAGCCCTGGTGGAGTTGACAGCTCAACTCGCAGGCGGGAGCTCCGCACGGAAGACCCCCGAGTCCACAGATACCGGCCCGGCATTCAAATGATACCAAGCCCGAACCGAACGAGCCGGCTAATAAGGGACTCTGCTCTATAATGGTAGACAGACAAGAGGTCCTTTCCCCTTTCTTGTCCCAGTGTTTCCTCTTAAACTTGTCGCCAAGGCCTGGAGACAAAATAAGTAACTGAAGTGCCGCGCCAGTCGGGACCAGCTGGCAATACTTTGCAGCTTGATTATCTAAGCAAATGCCAAGGGGTCGCTCTTCGGTGTTTCGCGCTCTCAGCCCGCCGGCCCATCACGTAACTTTCAGAAGTGAACCACCGAATCTCACCAGTTCATCTCACATCTCACTCTCATCTCACGTCCCCAATGTCCAGCGCTCAAGCAAACGAGACGACTTCGCTCTTGCCATCACGAAATACCCATCCCGATACCACCGCCGAGGAAACAGAAACAATGAGCAGCCAGGCCTTTTGGAGAGTCGGTGCCATCTTCGGCGCCACCGCCGTCGGTCTCGGAGCCTTCGGAGCCCACGGCCTGAAGAACCGCATCTCTGATCCCGCAAAGATTGCCAGCTGGTCCACCGCCGCTCACTATCAAGTGAGTTGCTCTCATCTTGTTTCACTTATCATCATCATTGAGATCAGTAGCTGACCCTAAGACAATCATTAGCTCGTCCATTCCGTTGCCATTCTCATCGCTCGATCCAACCCCCTCGCCGCCGGTCTTTTCACCGCCGGCGCGACCATGTTCAGCGGTAGCATCTACGCCCTTATCCTCAACCCTGATCTCAAGTTCCTCGGTCCCGTCACTCCAATTGGTGGCCTTGCTCTGATTGCTGGCTGGCTCGCCTTGGCTTTCACCAAGGGTCGCGTTCGTTTCTAAGCCTAAGCGCTTCCACTGAGATAAAGTCCATTGTCGTGCACTCAGTCTCCGACCCAGAGGAATGCAATTGACTCCATTCTTGTAATACTACCTGTACCATAGACACCTGAGTTGCTGCGCGCACCTTCGAATGCACATCCACTCCTACTGAGACAGGCTGTTCCTATTTGACTCATCATTCATGTCTTTACCCAAACCATGACTGTGATGGGCTCACGTGCCTTACGCGGGTACCTTCACGTCAGCTTCAACCCCTTCTCGTACGGACTTTTCAATCGAATATTAACAGGGGCAAGGGCCGTCAGTCGTTCATGCGTAGTTGCCGGGCGCCCTAACATGGAAGGGGTTGCTGTCAGCTTACCACAACCCCTGAGACTAAGAGCCGCCGGGGTAACACGGTCAGCCCTACGTGATATCGAATACAGGCTGCGCACCATCTTGTGTGAGGAAGAACTTCCGTTCAGCTTTCGCTAAACGTCTGACTAAGTTGAATTGGATAAATCGTACTCAAAGCAGCTTCACGGGGTTCATTCTTGGCATGGTTGCCTTTCTACATCGAGCATATTCGGTGATGACCCCTGCCCAGATGACGACGTTTGAGCCTGGGGAAT